GTATTCTGAAGATAAGCAAGCAAATGTTGATGGCCTACTTCACAGCTGGAAAAGCTGGAAACTAGTTCTGTTACATTATTCTAAGGCTGCTACTGCATGATACTCTCCTAGGTTATATTTACTCCTTACACTTTTTAGTTTCCTTGTCCAATGTAGTCCTGTGGCCTTGTATTGTGCAAGAAGTGCGTTGTTTACTCCTAGTTTGGAGCACAGGGTTCTATTTCCCTTTTTAGGGTTTCAAAGCCAATTTTGTAAGTGGTGCTGCCCTGAGTAAGAAGCTGTGGTTTCTGTGTTGTTCCCTTTCGATGACTACAGGCAGGTTCTGGGACCTGCTGTGCAGAGGACTTGCATACAGAGGATTCTAATTGGAGTACTCCAGGGACATTTCTGCTAAATCCTGAATATCTTGTATTGTCTGTTAGTGAAAGAATTTAAGCCAGCTCAATTGCCCTGACAGGTGATTGCTAGAGGCTGCAAATCAGAATAGAAGTATTTGATCCCACTGAAGAATTTTAAGTGGTGCGTCACAGATGTAGTCTGGCTAGAGAAGCTAGTCTTGTGTCGGTGAAAGGGAGTATGTGGCTGCGATGTTGGTGAGCACTGTGGCGCTAATCTGAGTGAAAAATGGGTGAAATGGGTACCTGTACCAGAAGTAGTGCCTTCTCACTATTCTGCTCTTAAGCACTTGAATCTGTCTCAAAAACAGTCTTTTCCCTCCATCTTTAATTCATCCTTTCTAAATAAAAAGCTATTTCAGTAGAAAAATGTATTTAGGTTGCACAGGGGTGTGTGTAACAATCTGAATTGATGCTGATAAGCTAATTAAATTATTTTCTTTTGTAATTTTGATTGGTTTACTTTGCAAGCAATAACTTGTATAGCTAAAGGAGATAGAAAAACTTAACCATGTGCTACTGTGACATTGCACATCTTCCTACCTTCTCTGAAGACTACGAATTTTCTCCTCTTTGTTGTTTCTGTCTCTCACTCAACTGTCTCCACTCAACTGAACGTTGAGGGTTTTTAAAAGAAGCTTGGGATTAGCAACAGCAAATAAGTAGTTAGGGCATTCTCCTTAAAGAAGGGAGAGTGGACTCAAGCTGCCTCAGGTTGAGGAGGGCTTTGAGCCACTTCCTTAAAGACTCTGAGATGCAACAGTCAGCTCTCTCTTGCTTCCTGCCAACAGATGCCCATCTGCAAGAGAGAGTTCTGTGCCAGTCCTTGCTTTGGCTGGATCAAGGTGATTTCCTGACCAGGAACACTGAGACGCCTTATAGGTAATAGAGAAACAGACCTCTTCAACCCTTCACGTCAGAGCTGCCTGTTTCTCTGCATTTTCTGTGCCGAGTTGGAAAACTTCTGACTCGACATGGTATGATTTATTAGCCTGGGTCAGGTACCCACTTTAAGTGTTGCAGCCTTTGAGTTAGTGTCTAAATTAAGTGATCTGAAATGTCTCAAAAATGTCTTAGAACCCAACATATAAGCATAGTTACCCGCCTTCTGGAGACCGAATATTGTTAAATTTTACCAAAAAGCTTTACAGTCTATGCTTATCTCTTGCCACTGGTGACTTTGGGGGGCTATAGTGCCTTCTGTAATCATGAATTTCCACAAGGAAAGCCAAGAATAATCATTTAATCCTGGGGCAACCACTCTGATAGAAGATGACGTCAGTGGTTTTAAAGCTTTTGTTTTTGTAAATGCCAAACCAGTATTTATTATTTATGCGTCTCTTCAGTAATATAAAAATACTCTGATTTTAAGTAGTTACTATGTACACACATTATAAAAGCCTCCTACGAAACATGTATTTCTGTGCTTTTATTTTTCTAGTATTTCCACTTCATCATCTTCCTGACATTAATTTGCAACAAAGTAAAATAAACCATCTTTAGGTCATATGATAGCTAAGATGTAACTCAGTTCTGTCATGAGTTTAAAAGAAAAAAAAGTCAGCGAGGTGACTGGAAAATTTGAACTTCTTGGTTTTGAGGAAATCCTGGGTTTTTTACTACGTTACTGAATATTGTAAAATGGGTATTGACAGTAATGATATTATCAAGTCTGGACCGCTGTGCAGTACAGATGAGCGGTTATTTGCCCTGATTTGGGGCAGTGACATGGCATTCATCTTCGTTACACCACTTATGTAAATATATCTTGTGTTTAGCAACTTGTGCACTTCTATAGAGGCATTTTGTCAGTCTAAAAAGACTTTGTTATTATAGAATATGGGGTGGGGGAGAAAAGGACAACACTTACTGTGTCAAGATGCATACAAGATCAGCTACAACTCTTAAGTCTATGAACAGTAATGGAAGCAAAAATATTATGTAAATCTATTATATAGGTAAACCAGGTGGATGAAGCTTTCATGATAGCTAGCAAATCATCCAGAACCCAGATCACAGTGGAAATGGTGGATACCAATTAGACAGCTGTTGAGAAAAACAAGAATATTTTCCAGTAGTTTTTTTAGTGTATTTGCTGTTGACAATTTTTTGCTACATAAAGCGGAGGAGCCGTCTATAGGAGAGAGACTCTGTATGCGATTCAAAATGGGGAAGTTACGGAAAACATGAAAGTTGAGGAAAGCTTGGGTAAATGTGGTTTAAGTGAGATTTTATGGACCCTAGAAACAAAAGGAGGGAAGAATGCTAAAGTAAAAACAATGGATTTTGTGAAAGAAGGCTACAGTAAATACAGAATTGGTAGATAAGATCTCTTTAGTCAAGCCTCAAGGAGAAAAGGATTTAAGGAGAAGTGATGCTTTGTCAGAGATAATACTAAAGCACAAATAATGCTAATGCAGAGGCTTAGACTCTAATTAAACTGTAAATTCTTCATTGACCTCTGAGACTTTCTCAGTTTGAGGAACCGAATAAAAGATTTGTATGAGAAAGGGGCAGAGTTGGGTAGGGAGCAGGGAATGGGGACACCCAGATTAACTGCATTTCATTTTTAAGTGAGGCATCAACTTAATGGGCAGATGCACACACATCCAAAAATGCTCTGTCACATAGTAAAAGGAGAGCCAGAGAAAGTGTTCAGCATTTATAAGCATTTAATGACAAGAAAATGATACTGTGGTTCTAAAGCCTTGAATCTATTTTTTGTGTAAGCTGTTGCTTAGAAGTCAGCTATGTATAGGTGGCTAGCACAGTACTAATCTCAAAACAGCATTCTGCCATCTATCTGTATGCAAATTAGTTGTTTCTGAAAATTAAATAGTAGTATGAAATGTATAAAAGAAGTCACCAACTCTGTGGCCAATGTATGGAGTACCACAGATATATTTTTATTTGAAAGTATTAAATAGTTAAAATTGGGAATTACTTTAATATTAAAATATTTAGAAGTTCCCTAACTTCTCAGTGTAAAAACTTGGTTTCTGAGTTCTTTTCTTTTGGTGTTTATACTCTTGACAATCTGACTGGTAATGTTTCAGCCCAATAAATACCTGCTTTGGTTGGAAATACCAGAAGTTTATTTTTAAATAATGTGCTGTGTTCTTCTGACCTGTCTGCAGTAAAACCAGAAACCAGCAATTGTTTGTGCTTAATTTGCTGTGACAATGTGTATACTATGCCTTTTAGAGAATCAAGCTTTATATATTTAATCAAGAATTTATGCAGAATATGATACCATTTGTAGGTAACATCTAACTAGTGTATAATGCTTTATTTTAGGCAAGCATAACTGTCTGCTTCTGCAAGAAGAATTATTACTAGCATAAAGTCAACAGCATATTCAAGGATGATTCTTCCTAGTCTAATTTAGCCTGTGCTGGCAGAGATACTCGGTTGTAATACAAACTTCTTCAAGCAGCTGTCAAATCATTTTGGTTACCAAAGAAATAAAATCTTATCTATGTTATAAAATAGGAATTACGCTACAACTGGGGTAGCTGAATGAAAGAGCCAGTAATGGTACTTTCAGTTCTAGATTCTGCTCTCTTCCATGCAGCTCTTGGGGAGCACGGTGGTTTGTCCTGCGCCATAGACAGTTGAGGGGGGCGTAAAGTGTCCATTAGAGAAGGCACTGACATCTCTGAACACTGAATGTGGATTTCACTGTGGTAGGTCTATGTGAGAATGTCAGAGTATAGCAGAAAAACAGTAAAAGGTCACTGCCTGCTTTTTTTCCCCTAACCACTATTTGGAGCATATTTCAGATGCTCTTCTCATCTCAAGACTCTGAAATAAATTTTTGGTTTTTGGGTTTTTTTAGTTCATTTCGTGACACTCGTGTCAGTTGCTTTAGCTGGTTCCCATCATTTGAATCAAAGGATCAAAGTACTTGCATCCTCCGGGACAAGTATAAATAAAAAGAATTGAAATATTCTTAGAAAATACTCTTGTCATACTGGGAATCATTTGCTAACTTGGCTTTTCCAAGAGATGAAAGTAAGTGAGAAAAAGCTGGTGCCAACTCAGCCTTCTGAGTAACTCTGACATATTGCTAGAGACGTACCTAAATTATTCTTGGTAAAACACAATTACTTCAGGAATATTACATGTGTTATAAGAGTCACGTACTACATGTAGTCCAGCTCTTTCAAGGAGATCACAGTATTAAGAATACAACTTTATTAGCACGTTTGAGGAAGCTCAACATCTTAAGCATGATCTGTGTACAATTCATAAGGCTTATAGCCAGGCGAGATGGGATATGCCTTAACTGTGCTGGCACCAAGCTGTGATCACTGTAGGAAAAAAAAAAAAACCCTTGCAACTAGTAAAGAAGAGTGGCACTTTCATTAAGTTTCATTTTAACCCAGTTTTTTCTTGGAATTAATTTTAACTCAGTGTTTCTGGTTTAGAAGATAGAAATCTCAGCTTTCTACATACCAATATTTCCTGCATTTTCTTCTGTTAAATGATAAACTCTGTAACACCAATTAATAAAATCTACTGTAAATTAAGTATGAGTAAATGTGTAATCTTCCTGTGAACTTTGAATGGTATACTAGTGGTTTCTCTTTTTCTTTGAATTAGATGGAGAGCAGAAGACTCAAGTGATGATTCATGGAATTGAGCCAATGCTGGAAACACCCATACAGTGGCTAAGCGAACATATGAGCTATCCAGATAATTTTCTCCACATCAGTATCATTCCCCGACCTACTGATTGAAACTCAGCTGTCTTGGTATGAGGATCATTCTCGAGCTGGAATTGTAAGGGCATGTCAACTTCTTGCTTTTGTCAGTCTTGACAGAGGCGGCCTGACCAGAAAGAAAACCAACAAAAAACCGAAACAAAACAAGAAGTCCTCACTCTGCTGCAAGCCGAACAGGAAGAGAGATCCTATCATCAGATAAGGGCAATTGGGCTGATCTTACTTTGCATCACCGCTGCTTTTCTTCACCGCTGTAATTAAATCGGTTGCGATATGAAAGAATTTACAGGACCTCTGCAAGTCTGCTGTTTTCTTGTAAAATATAATGAAGCTGAAACTGTCAGCCGAAGAGCAAATGGAAATATGCCACTTGATTGTATTTCTGATTAACAAATAAACAGGGCTGTTTCCTAAAGCGGTAGCGTTTCAACTTTGAGAGTGGAAACATTGGTTTAATTTTCTAGAAAGTTAGACACTGAGAGATTCAGTTACCAATGGCTTTTTGTAAAAGATCAAATTACTGTAAACCCATCTTTCCTTAATGAGAAGTTCATGTTTACAGTATGTGTATTGGTATGCAAATGATCTTTTAACTTTGATAACAAGCAGTGAGAGATTTTTAAGTAAACCCGTGAGCATGTTTTGTCATTTAAAAACATGCACAACTTAATAATTTACAAATACTTTTGATTTGTATGCTGTCACTGAATACTCCAGTATGTTTATTATTCAAACCAGTTTTCATAGACTAGCAATGATGTAGGATAATTTGTCTCAGGATTTATCATGGCATTTCTTTGTGCTCATCTAAATTTTTTTTTTTCTGTGTGACTATTTTCTTAATTTAGTTTTAAAAGTTAAAAAAAAAGTAAACGGATGTTGCAAACGATTGTATCCTGCTGTTTATTCCCATAGACTAGAAGACAGTTAAACAGTAGAATGACGAACAGATGTATTGCTTTTTAATAACTTTGAATTTTGGAAAGCTGAGGCTTTTCCAAGCTTATACTTCGTTACATCTGAGTTCAGTTTTCTGCTGTGGTCCCTGAGCAATCAGTCTGAAATTTAGAAGCTTCTAATCTCATTGCACAGATTTTTTCCTTAGTTTAGCAGATGTATTTTTAGGTTAATGGATCGCTTTGGTTTCTAAATGTTTGTTAGCATTGCAGCTGCTACTAGGACTCTACATTTTTTTTTTTGTGCTACACTGAATTCATCAAACTGTATGCTGTTTTGCTTTGTCTGCAGTTCGCGGCTGTTTGTGGCACAAGACTATGTTTATAGTAATATTATCAAATATAAAGAAAGCATGACATTTTTCTTTCAAGAAATAGTAGCTGTTGAAGTTCCTACTCAAAGTAGGATTGCAAATGTCCTGGTAACTCCCAATGCTGTTCCCATTTGTTTCCATGGTCCTTTTATCATAGGATACTTACCCATCCCTGAAAAAGAAAATCAATCAAACAACCACCCACCTCTTCAAGAAGCAAGAGGAGAAGGATCGCCTTGGGTGAGGGTAGAATTGAGGCTACAAAAAGCCCTAAGGGCAGAAAAAGTCAGTAGACAGATAGTGTTTTAAATGTAAATGAGGAAATAGCATTAAGGAAATGGAAGGGAAAAGGTAATAGTGCAATAAACCTGTGCTGTATTCTGTGGCTCATGAAGAATTTTTGAAACAAAACAAACCATGCTAATCTGTGCTTATGCAGAACTGAAATAGAATATTCTTATAGTGGGTGATTTGGTTGAGTTATTCTAATTTCCAGTTCTGTTTGGAATTTTTGTTAGTGTTGGATTGGCATTTATAAACTTCCTTAGGCAGACATATCTGAATATTCTGGAAAATTTCAAAGTCCTGCCAATGGATAAAGCAAATATTTTGTAGTGTCTTCATATTTTAAAAAAACAAAGTAAGTCATTTGTAAGGGTAATTTTTCCATTAATCGGGATTAGAGACAGTACATTGAAAAAACCCTGTAAAAACTGCGTTTCTTTATTTTAAGGTAAGCTGGAGTAAGTTATTGGCTGTTCTAATATATTCTACACCAGCATTTTAAGTATACAACTCTCCCCTCGTGGCCCATATTTATTAGGAAATCCAACTTTTAAGGCCTAGCATGGAACAAAGAAATAGCTTGGCTTTAAAACATATTCTTTCCTCATATTTTAACTATTTAAACTTTATTAAAAAATAAAACAAAGTTTGAGTCTGTCTTTATTTCCAGCTAAATTAGGATCTTTGTCATGGAGTGACAAAAACATTTAATTAATACTTAATAAGTAGGAGCTTCTTAAAGAGCTAGTTGGGTGATGTATCTACACAAAAGCACATCAACACAAAGATGAAGTGGCGTCTTTGCTTTACCTGATTTAAATCACGTTTTTGTAGTTTCTTAGTGTGTGAATAATAATAGCAACAAAAGGTGTGTTGTGGCTTAATTAAATGCTTTTCTTCACTTTGAAATGCTGTAACTTCTGGAAAAAACAGATTTGGTCTAAATTGGTGAGAACCTAAATAATGCTCACTAAATTAATTTCAGTAATAAGGAAAAGTGCCAAATCCTGTGTACACACACACTCCTCTACATTTAGAATTTCAGCGTATCTGGTGAGCAGGATAAATCATAATTTAAAAAAGAGCAAAATACAGAGCTTGTTGCTGTATTCGCTGTATTTCATGTTGTTTGGCAATGGCTATCTCAGTCTTTGAATGTTCAGTGAAGAAAGAGTGAATTTTCCAATTATTTCTTTGATGTCACTGGCTGTCATTCAGCCCACTGTCAGCACACAAGGTGATGCCTTTTCATTAAGTACTAGAAATTGGTTATTTTAGTTTTAAATTAATTTCCATTAATTCTTTGGGGGGTGGAGGGTGGGGGCGAAGGATTTTGTACTGGTAAAAAGTCAGATGACATTGCCACTACTGGGAAGAACATGAACTTGACCTCTGAAGGCCTGGTAACTCTGAAGAATGCAGAATGGGAAAAGACGCTGAACTGAATATGCAGAGGGGGCACGGGGACTAAGGAGGATTTCTGCTGGGAAGTGAGTAGAGCTCATACAGTGGTGTGTTATGCTGCTAAAGCACCTGTAATCCTGGGTTCTCATTAGGTACAGAAAATTCAGAAAAGGACGGGGAATTTTTTGCCTGCAGGGGCAGCGGTTCTCGCATGGAATATTTTGGTGTGGGGCTGGGGGAGGTCTCAGTGTCCCAGTGTGGAAAGTAGAGATTCAAGCTGGCATAGGGACTGTGCTGCCTTAATGGCAGAAATGCAAATACTGCTGGGTATGTACATCAGCGTGATTGGGAAATCTTGCAGGAATGTGAAGGAATATTAAATTTTAAGGTCAAATCAGGCACAGGAATGTGCAGTGTAAACTAGCCATGAATAAACTTGCAGGAAGGAAAACTGCTGAGCTACTTCAAACCCAGTTACTTCTCCACTAAGAGTTCTGGGAGCTGTGGAGCAAGCCAATACAAAGGTTAAGTTAGGAAAAGGATAAGAGCTGGTTGCCTGCGATAGCAGTCACCAGACTCAGTGACTGAGAAAGTCCTTTCGGTATTGTGTTCCTGCATGTTTTGCTCTGACAGCCAGATACATATCAGCTGATGAAGACTCTTGATGGTCGCTTCCAGTATTATTTGTATCCTGCATAATAATTATGGACAGTTGGGTTTTGTTTTTTTTTTTTGTAATTTCCTTATATGGTGAATGGTGCCTGAGTGACAACTCGTTTATGGCACTGACAATAGCTGGTGCTTTTTCAGTTTCAATATTTAGGAAAATCTGCACCTTGGCTGTACAAGTGTATCAGCACACTCGTAGAAGACTTCTAGGGCTAAAAAAATGACTATTCATTTTGGAGAATGTTTTAAGCAAATTTCACAGTTTGACAGTAATAATATACCAAATTAAGGGACTGGACAAGAAAAGAATAGATTAATCCCTTTCGTAGGTACTTCCCAAATGGAACATTTTTACATGTAATGATTTTAAGCTCTCCAAAGAACCTAGATGTTAGTTTGCCTGCAAATGTAGCAGTAGCTTACAGAAGCTATTTATTCATATGCTACCATATGTAGATGTTAAAACTGATTACATACTTGTATAAGTCTAATATTAATATTGATGATTATCAAGATATGCCAGAAAGTGAACCATGTCAGTGATCGTGAGGGCTCCCATGGGTGCAGTTCTGGTGCTGCAAATGGATGAAATGTGGAGATTGAGTGGATCTCTGCCAAGTACTACCACTTTTTCCAGCTTCCGTCTTCCAGCAAAACCAAAATTACTCTGTCTTTACTGAGAAAATAATGTTATTTTCTTGACATGGTAAAAGTGTATTTCAGGGGAAAGTATTTCGCCCCCCTCAGATATTTGTGATTCAAAATTTGTGGCTGTATCAGAATCATAAGTCTTTTGGAAAGTGACTGTAGCCATTGATTTTAGCAGTCCCTGTTTATTTGGACAGGAAAGAGATTTCTGAAGTGATTTTTTTTTTTCTTTCCTTAGGATGAGAAAGGGTGTGCACAGCGGTTCTTAGAATATCACATCACATATAGAAGGGATTTCTGAATTAAAGCAGGTAGGTGTCTATTCTACGTTAAAACTTCTAGTTTTGAGACAGGGATGGTGACATTTCAAAATGTCACACTAAACCTAAGTAATATGTCTTGAGACAAAGACAGATGTGAAGTTTCAAATGCTCAGAAGCGGATTTCAGATTTCTGTACTTTCAAGTTATACTATCAAATTAGCTTGTGGAAGAAGAGTTTAAAATGAGAGATGTTTTCTTTCCTTCCCTTGCCTTTCATGTCTCCACAATTCAAGTAATGAAGTTTTTTTTAACTGTGAAATGAAACACCAGTTTCTCTAAACACTAGATTAAAGAACACAAAAGAATACAAAACTTCTTTCAAATACGGCTATGCAAACAGGTGCATGAAGAGGAGCTTTGTGTAGTTCTGGTTTTTATACGTGTAAAATAACTAGCAATTATATGACTTTTAAATGTATGGTTTTAATAGTATTTATATGGATGAAAACCACTTAGGGTAGAAAGAGAGGCAGTCAAACACCGTGGTAGCGTTGGAGGAGCTTGACTTTACTGCACTTGAAACTGCCAAAATGTGTCAGATTTTAAAATAGCACTTTCCACTGAAGATGTTTAAAGCTTTAATCCTTGCATCATTTCACTAATATAGGTCAACAGATACAATAAAATGAATACGTTGTGGGAACAAATGTGTGATCTAGTTACTAACATACATTATATTCTCATCTTAGTGTTCATGGTAATTGTGAGTATTACGCAGTGGAAAGGATAAAGCCGATAAGTGATATATTTTGCATCTGCCAGAATTTGGAGGATCGCTTGCTATACTTTGTCAGATGTGTTTTGCAAGTTCGCATGCATGTCTTAAAAGCTACTAGAAGTCAGGTCCTCTTTCAAAGAAAACGGGGCTGGGGCGGGAATCGATAGCGTTGCTCACTGCACATCTCCCTCCACCCCCAGTCTGCCCCTTTTAGTTCTCCTTACCATAGACATGAGGTAATTCTAGGAGAGAATGAGTGCATTTTTTTTCTCTTTATAATTAATTATGTGAATGCAGAACACTGTTATAGGAATAATTTTTTTTTTCTTCCTGTACACGGACAGAAGCTTCACCTCCTTTGGCTTGCGAAGCCTTCCGTGTGTGCCTTCCCGTGAAAGGCTTGCAGAGAGCATGCGCAAGCTGGCTATGTCTTACTTTGTACACATACGTATATAATTGTTCCTTCTGTATATTGAGATTTTGTGGCTTAGGGTCAGCAGCATCCAAACTGCCATAAAAGAGCCAATTTGTAATTCTTTCAGCTAGACTGCAGCACTCGTGAGTGTTTT